AATAATAATAAAAAGAATATACTGTGGACTGTCAAAAGGACAAACAAATCTGTCTTGCAAGAAGTACAGCCAGAATGTTCTTAAATGCAAGTAAGGCTTTGTCTCACATGTTTTGGAAATCTTGTCAGAGGTGACCCATGCCAGGAGAAGGACATCAGTAAAACTCCTCAATGAGATGTCATGGCACAGTAGCTGCAACCATTGGTTCAAATATATCAAAGATTGTGAGGAAGGGGCAGAACTGGGCAGGATTTCCTTCTCATGTCCATACATGGTGAGTTCAAGTCAGAACTAACTCTACGGCATCTAACAGAATGATAATGATGGATGCTCCATTTAGAAGGGCTTCTGAGTCTGTTCAGATGCCTGACTTGATTTTGTGTTGATCCAGTACTATATGTTTGACAAATATTTATTGAATAAATGAATAAGGGTTGTTTTACTTCTATCTTTCAGTGCTTTGGATAAAAGGAAGAACAAAAAAAGAAAAAGCCAAGAAATATGCTTTTGGAATTTCATTGCCATAAACTAAAAAGTGTATTCATTTTTTTTTTAGTATTCACTGTTAAATCTGAAATATAGGAAACGTGCCTAAAGCAGATACTGCAAGATTATATGGGTTAAATTGCTGTGGAAAGAATTAGTTCGAATTTGTATTAAAAATTTTGTAAATAAATGAGTAAAAAAAACCCAAACCAGGACCCTCGTTTCACTTTCCACAGAGGAGAATATTAGGATGGCCAAAAGACACATGAAGAAATACTCAAAATCACTGGGAATAAGAAAGATGCAAATAAAAACCACAATGAGATACCATCTCACTCCAGTAACAGAGGCAAAGTTTAACAAAATAGCAAGTAATAAGCACTGAAAAGGATGTAGAGAGATAGGAACTCTTAGACACGGTTGGTGGGATTGCAAAATGGTACAACCACACTGGAAGGCAGTTTGGTGCTTCCCCAAAAAGCTGAATATAGAAATTCCATGTGACCCAGCTCTTCCACTGCTTGGAATATACTCTGAGTGAGAATGAGAACTGAGGCACAAATGGAGACTTGTACCCCAATGTTTATAGCAGGGTCAATCACCATCTTGAGAACATGGAAACAGCCCAAATGTCCAACCATAATAGGATGGATTGAGAAACTGTGGTACGTTCACATGATGGAATACTATGGAGCATGCGGGAGCAAAGACTTTGAAAATATCTACATCACTTAAGAGGGACTGGAAAGCATTATGCTAAGTGAACTAACTCAGTCCCTAAAGGACCAATACTGTATAAGGTAATTATTATAGAAATATAACCAGTAAAACATGTATGAGGATCCTAGGAGGGAAGGGTAGGAGCAGAGGGGTGTGGATGGGCAGGGGGGTAAAATAAGGTTGCACAATTTAATGGGTAAAGGGAGGGTGGGTAAAGGAAATGGGAAAGATACAGTGTGAAAAACAATGTATATGAACTTTGTAAGCAAACCAACATAAAATAAAAATTTTATTTTAAAAAAAAGAGAGAAAAGACCGTATGTTTGTTTGCAAGAAAAGAAAAATACTATAATATTTTATATATATGTGGATACACACACGCCACACAGCTCCTTGGACAATAGCACTTCAGATAACTCTTTTCTTTCCATTAGGTATACCTGCATTTTACTGTTACACAGAAAAGAAACAATGTAACATAAACAACAACTCAGTTCATAACACCGGTGAAAGTAATTCTTGAAAATAAGGGGGAAAGTGTATTTATGAAATACAAGATTAAACAAATGTGATTTCACTTTAGAAAGAGTTTCTTAAACAACTATCATGTAGAAGGCTTAGGCACTGAGAATAAGCAGTATATATGGCCCTGTTTCTGCTGGATAGGCCTCATGTATCCAGTAGGCGGGACACACATACAAATAAAAAATAATTTAATGCAAGGATAATGATGTGCCAGGTGTTCATGAAAGGGAGTGATAATTATTCCTCAATATCCAGTGCATCCCCTACCTTCTACCCCTCCCCCAAGAAACTACATATTCTAATCTTTCCTGAAAATACTTGTGGCAACAAAAACTCTTCAGTGAAATGGGAGCAAATTGATGCTATGCAACTTGGAAATCACATCCTTCTAAAATGTGTGCCATGCCCTCAATCACCATTCCTGTAAGCTTCAGTAAGATGTGATTATGCTGCTGAGCTAACCTTGACCTTGTGGATGAAAGCAATTCCCAGATAAATAAGGAAGCTGAGGTCTGGTTGAGGAGGGTTATCACCACCATCCTACAAAGTGTAGCAAACTTCAATCTCATTTAAGCCACTGTGGTATTGGATGCTCTTGTTATGAGAGATGAAGCTGTAATGGCCTAGAGGTTAAGGACCTATACTCTGAATCGTGGGCAGTTCGAATCCATCAGCTGTTAAGAAGGAGAAAGATGAAAGAAGGAGAAAGTCTCCTCTCATGCGATTTATGGCCTCGAAAAAAAAGATGTTGGAGGATCAGGTATGAGTCAGTTCTGACTTGACAGCAATGCATTGAGTTGTTATGAAAGGGAACCCCACACAGTTAACCTTGGCTACTAACTGAAGGAACAGCAGTTCAGGTCCACCCAGAGATGCCTTGGAAGAAAGGATTGGCAATCTACTTCCACATAGTTGTTGTTGTTGTTATTATGTGGCGTCGAGTCGCTTGCGACTCATAGCGACCCTATGTCCAACAGCCCTAAACTCTGCTCTGTCCTGTGCCAATCGCACTGTCTCTGACACTCCCATCCCTATTACCCCAGTCACTGAATCAATCCACCTCATAGAGGGCCTTCCCCTCCTGCGCTGTCCCTTCACCCTCCCAAGCATGATGTCCTTCTCCAAGGACTGGTCTCTCCTCACAACATGTCCAAAGTATGTTAGATGGAGCCTCAGAATCCTTGCCTTCAAGGATCCACTAGGTTTAACCCTTTCCAAGACAAATCTGTGTGTTTTCCTAGCAGTCCATGGTACTCTCAATACTCTTTTCCAGCACCACAGCTCAAAGGCATCAATTCTCCTTCTATCCTCCTTGGTCATTGTCCAACTCTCTGATGCATAACAAGTGATTGCGAAGACCATGGCCTCTATCAGATGCACCTTAGTCTCCAGAGAGACACCATTGCTCTTCAGTACTTTGGAGAGGTCCCTAACAGCAGACTTTCCCATGGCAATGCGCCTTTTAATTTTCTGGCTACTAGTGCCAAGACTGTTGACTGTGGAGCCAAGCAAACTAAAGCTGTGAACAATCTCACTCTCTTCACCAATTGGTCCAGTGGTGAGAATCTTTGTCTTCTTGACATTGAGCCTCAATCCATATTGGAGGCCACAGTCCTTGACCCTCTGCAGTAGATGCTTCAGGTCCTCCTCAGTTTCAGCAAGCAGGGTTGTGTCATCTGCATATCACAGATTGCTAATAAATCGTCCACCAATCTTGACCCCACATTTCTCCTCATAGAGCCCAGCCTCCTGGATAATCTGTTCTGCATACAGGCTGAAAAGGTATGGAGATAGGATGCATCCCCGGCGTACACCCTTCCCAATTTTGAACCATGCATTGTTCCCTTGCTCTGTTCTGACGACTGCCTCCTGGTCCAAGTATGGTTTCACATTAGAACAATCAAGTGTTCTGGGATTCCCATTCTTCTCAGAATCAGCCAGAGTTTGTTATGATCCACACAGTCAAACGCCTGTTTCCACATAGTTAGCCATTGCAAATCCTATGGTGCATAGTTCTGAAATATTTGGGGTATCATGAGTTTCACTAGAATGGATAGAAACTGGTTTTATCTTATTTTGGTTTTATTTTAACAGTCTAGTCTCTTACCCAAGAACTACAGTGGAAAAGAAGAAAAGAAAGTATGCCAAGTGAACAATTATTCTAACCTTGTTGGGGAAAGAGCATTTATTAAAGGAAGTGGTTTTAGCTGCACCTGGGACATAAAAATTAAGTCTCATTACCATGAGCAATATCAAGAAAACACCTTGTTTCTAAAGTTCTGAATAATGAAAATGAAGTTTTAAACCAGTTTAAGCTTTGAATTTGAGGTGGACAGCAGGGGGGAAAATTATTAGCTCTCTGATGTCAAGATTGATGTTGTTGTTGTTAAGTGCCCACTGTTACAAGTCATCAGGGATGCTCAACCAGAGACTACCATCTCCAGACGGAAGAGCAAGACCTCTAGATTTATGCTGTTGTTGTTTTGTGCTGTTGATTCAGAACTCTCTCATAGCAGATCCTCCAGACAGTTTTCAGAAGCTGTAAATTGCATGGGAAGAGATCACGCATTTTGGACTTGAACAGTATGCATTTGGGTTAGCAGCACAACTCCTTCCACTAAGCAATTAGAGCTACATCTCTAGTCTTGTATAGTTTGAAGCCTTCTATTGAATGCTACATAGAAGTATATTTCATATAAAATGTTCCCATATTTGGAAAGCTTTAAAATCCAGTTTTCTAGAAAATATGAACTACAAAATATCAGATGCCATAATACCCTCAGTGAGAAAAAAAAATTCCTTAATCTTTACATTCTGTGAAATAGGGCATCATGTGATTTGGTGGTTGTGAGAAGAACATACTTGAATTCTACTGAAGCCTGTTTTCGGAGGCTATAAATTACATAGTTGGAGATTGCACATCTTTCTCCGTGGAGGAAGTGGTGGATAGGAGCCAACTGCCTTTGAGTTGATAGCACAACTCCTTACCACTAGCTACAAGAGCTCCTTATTTAATAATTGTAGAAACAGAACGAAAATGAACAACATAATAACTTGGATTTTATAACAATGTTTTTTTATAAAGAAGCAAGTTTTTGGGGTTGGGAAGAAGGGCATGATGAGGACAGTCTCCTGTTACAAAGGCTAACCAGGTTAAGGTGTTAATAGAATGATAAAGCAGAAACAGGAAAATATCTTCAAATATAAAATCAGTTTTATAAAACCTGAAAAAAGGTATGCTAATTAGTCTTTTAGGTATATAGTTTATCTTTTCCAGACTTCTATATATTTGCATGATTATAAATGTAAGTTCACTGTTTCGTATTTTCAAGGCACTTGATCAGCGTTCAAGATGGAAGTTAAAATTTTATGTTTGGGAGAGACACACACTCCACGACAAAACAACAACAGAACCCAGACAAATTAAGTGATAATTGCACATGTTGTTAATGTTATGTGCCGTCGAGTCGCGTGAGACTCATAGCGATCCCTATATACAACACCCATGCTCCATCCCTTGCCAATCTTATTGTCTCTGACATGCCTTTCCCCATTACCTCAGTGACTGAATCAACCCATCTCATAGAGGGTCTTCCTCTCCTGCGCTGTCCCTCCACCCTCCCAAGCATGACGTCCCTCTCCAAGGACTGATCCTGCCTTGACATAATGGCACATTGCAATGAAAAATACATGGATGATTAAGTATGAACAAGTAAGATGAGACCAAGGTGTGAAAAAGGAAAACGTCTAAAAGTTAAGTCAGCAAGGTGAAGTATAATGAGAGCCACGTCATTATTTCACATATTAAAAGCAAAACAAAACGTAAAACCATTAAGGAAAAATACTGAATCTTCAAACCAAATCTGCCCTTCCTGCCAACTTGGGCTTTCTCCGCTAGCCTTTCATTCCATTTTCCTAACACTTGGAAATCTCTCGAGAAAGGTGCTTTGGTAAGTGCTATTTACACAAAACTTCGCGCTTCTGAGTTACGCCTGTTAGTTTCCAGGAAACGTATGAAAAAGCCATCAGTATTGTGCAGAGCATGTATACCGAACGAATTTTAACACTAAAACCCTTGCAGATACCTGAAAAACACAACCCGACTGGGAATCCCAAAAACTTCCCGAGCTATCAAATTTGCGCATGCTCCGCCGACAGGCCGCTCTCACTTCCTCATTGGCAGGCCCGATTTGCGTAGTAGTTCACGACAGTCGCCGGTCGTACTTTGGACTTTTGTTACGGCTCCTTAGCTTTACGACCATAACAAATATGGCGGCCGCCAGTGGTAGGTTTGAAAGTGCTAGGACTATCGAAGAGCGGAAAGAACAGAACCGGCTGGCCAGGGCCGAAGTATTGCGCCAGGTATCCCTATTTGGGGCTTTTGAGTTCCTTTAAAATTGTACGAGTGGTGGTAGTTGTTGTTAGGTGCCATCGAGTTGACTACGACCCATATGTGACTACCCTGTGAGCCACATATAGGACCTTGTCTTTTCCTGCACTCTCTGATGTGCTCGAGCCCCTTGTTGCAGTCTCTGTGCCAGTCCATTTCCATTTGTGTCTTGTTGACAGTGTCTCCCTCTTTCTCTGATCCTCTTCCTTTCCCACTATGATGTCTTTCCCCCGTCTTGATAACATGTTCAAAGTGTGAAAGGAAGTTAACATCCTTGTCTCTTTGAAACACTGTTGGTTGCACACTCTACAAGACAGAATTGATTGTTCTTTTGGCTGCCGTTGGGATAGCCATCACTCTTCAACATCACTATTCAAAGGCATCAGTTCTTGTGTCATCCTAATTCATTGTCCAACTTTCAAATGCATGGGAAGTAATCGAAAATACCTGGCTTGGATCAGACGCACCTTAGTCTTGAAACGGACATCTTTAGCACTTTTGAGAGGTCTTTGATAGCTTTTCTGAGTGCAGTATATCTTTTGATTTCTTGACTGCTGTTACTATGGATCCAAATAAAATGAAATAGTTGACAACTTCAGTCTTTTCTCCATTTATCGTCATGTTGTCTGTTAGTCCATTCGTGAGGATTTTTTTTATTTCTTTTGAGAGCCGAGAGCTAGGCTTTTTGGTTTCCCCTACTCAAAACACACTTGTGTAGATGGGAGGTTCCCTTGGGATAGACCGACACTCTTGGTTATCTCCGGATTCTCGATTTTCTGGCTGATTTAAATTCCTCTGCGTGTCCTAGTGTTTTACACAATCCTGTTTTGGGTTTTCTGTCTCCTGGACTTCACACTTGTAATGCTTCTGCCCACGCGTCTTAGTCCTTGCTTCTGTTGTATCTGAAATTATTATTTTTTTTAAGAACACATATAAGCATATTAGAATCCATTATTTGAACGTCTTATTCTCTTGCCTTATTTTTATCAATGATCGGCAGTTGTGAGCTCTCCAAACAAGGGTTAAGACTAGAGACCCAGAAGATAGATTACATTCTTTATGTTGTGTAACCATATTCACCCTTCTTTTGGGGTTGTATCTGCTCCACTGACATAAACTCACAGACCTTTGAGCTTCCAGTCTAATCTTTTGAGTTGCTATTTGGCAGATAGGTAGAACTCTAAAAAGCATTATGCTCAAGGTAGATATTTTTAGTAGTTGTAACCTATTGCTTGGTTTTAAGGAGAATTCAGGGAATTTTTTGTTTAAGATTTAATGATTATCTCAGGGGGTTATCCAGTTTCATGAAAATTGAAAATCTTGTTCTACATTTCCCCCTTTTTAATCTGCTTTCTTGTATAGAATTTTTTATAAAAATGTTCAGTAATGGTGGCTGGACACTGTTGGGTTCTGGTCTTAGGACAGAGGAAGCAGTTGTTTGTAGAAGCAATTAGCCACACTTAACCAATTATCCTCCTCCTGTGTGCTGATTCTCTTGCCTTTGTTACTTCAGAGATTGTGAGGATGGTACAGAATAGGACAGTGCTCAGATCAGTGTTTCATAGGGTTTCTGTAAGTCATACTCTGACTGACAGCACCTAACAATAACAATATTACTTTTGGGAGCTCTGATGTTCAGTATTAAGAAGCTGTGCTGTAATCCCTAAGGCATGTGCTTCGAATCCTCCAGCTGCTCTCTGGGAGAAAGATGGACAGTCTCTCTCCATGCAATTTACTGCCTCTGCAAATCCACTGGAGTCAGCTGTGAGTTTGTTCTGATTTGAGGGCACACACCAGCATTACTGTGGGGACCAGATTTTAGGCCAGTGCCTGTTCCTTGAGTGTTATTTGCTTATTTGCTTCTTTTTCACCAGTAACTTTCCCAGGAGGAAAATTTGGTTTTATATTTCTTATTTCTCTTTGGTTTCTTAATATTGTATTCCTTCCCTAGCTTTTATGTGTGGTGTGCTGGTGTGTTTTTTTAAAGTTTCAGCCAATAGCCAGTGTTTGAATAAAATGCTGTTATCAATCTTGTAACATTTACTTTAGAAGATTTTTTTTAAATGACTTCTAACTCAGTAGCATTTTAAATGAAAGTATTGGCCTGATAAAATCTATAAAGTTTAGAAGCTCTGTACAGGGGAATTTAGGAAGATATTTTTAGAGATGATAAAAGAATGAAATATTTCTTTAATCTGTTATCACAATTATATGTTGTAAAATCTTGTCATGGCAAGGCTGACAGGTTTGACTAGTAAAAAAAGAAAAATCCTTGTTTGATTCAGACAATTTGTTACTTACATAAATGGTAAACACAAGAATAGTCAGAGTACTAGCTCTCTGTTCCCTCTGTCCCATAGGGCAACACTGAGCAAAAGGGACCACAGGGCTGCACAAGAATGGAAATCTGTTGCTTAGGAAAATGTCCTGCAGCTAAGTAGTGTTACAGCCTGCAGTGTACTCTTAGGGGAAGACAGAAAGTTGCCTAGCTCGTCAGAACCTAGGAAATGATGGAGATGATGAGAAATTATTTCGTAATGCTCTGATTTAGTCTGGGTTGTCTAGAAAAGGAAAACTTATAAAATGTATGAGAGATAGAGAGAGGGGGAGGGAGGGATAGAGAGAAAGAAGGCCCATCTTGGCTACGCTTTCTCCAAGACATAGTTATATGTGTCCTTTTGGTAGTCAGTGCGATATTCGGTACCCATTTTTATTTTTTTCAGTACTCTTAAGTAATGCTGACTAAAGTACTCCTTAGTACTTAGTAAACTAAGTATTTTGTGTCAGTCAGTTTTTATTTAAGCAAACATTCATTGAATCACTTCTGTGTGACAGCCTCTAGGGAAAATAGAGATGGGAAATGTTGCATCTTCAAAGAATATAGAGGCAAATAAGGAGAAATTTAGAAGGTAGCTGTGGTAAATCTTAAAGTAGAAGTATACATATAGTTTGAGAGGCACCAGTTTTAGCTTTAGAATTTCAGGGAGAGGACAAGAAAAGCCTCCTAGAAAAATCTTGCTTAATTTCATAATTATTGAAGGACAAGAAATTTTCAAAACTGACTCACAGCTCACACTTCAGAAGTTTTTCCAGAGGCTATAAATTACATGGGAGAAGAGGACACATCTTTTTCATGTGGAGGAGCTGGTGGATTTGAACTACCTGCCTTTGATTTGGTAGCGCACTCCTTGTCACTAGCTATCAGAGCTCCCTATTTAATGATTGTTGAAAGAGAATTAAAATTAACAGTGTGATTACTTGGGTTTTAGAAAGATGTTTCTTTCAGAAGCACATTTTTTTGGGATTTGAGTGAAAGGGCATGATGAAGACAGTCTCCTGTTAAATAGGCTAAGGAAGGAGCTGTGGAAATGGTGAAAGGAAATGAATTTCAAGTCATATTTATAACAGGGGGTTTAGGAAGAAAGGAAGGTCTAGAAAAGTTCCAGGATATTTTGTCTCTGATTGGTACACAATTCACTATAGAGTGGTAATGTGGAAGGAAAAGGATTTAACATTTTTCTCTGTACTTTTTGGCAGTATAGAAAAGAAATTCCTTCATGAGACAATGCCTTTTAGAAATGTAAGAGAGGCTTTTGCTTTCCTTATTTTTTAAAAAGCATTTATTTGGATCAGTTGTTAATTTTATTTTTTCATGTTTATAGGCTAAAGCTGATTATGAAAAGGAAGAAAGGCGTAAAGAACTTAAGCGACTACGGGGTGAGGATACATGGATGCTGCCTGATGTGAATAAGCGAATTGAACAGTTCTCACAGGTGACTGCTAACATGCTTTCTTATTCTAAGCATGTCTATCTCTCTCTTTTTGTACTTAATTAAAAATTGGAAGACTAACGTTATAAAATAGTTTCATAAGTTAAAGAAAGGATATCATGTAGTTGGAGTTACTGAATAGTTTTATTTCTGGAAAAAGGAATATGTTTTAATATTGTAGATGCTGTGACATTGGAAAGATTTTATTGCTGTGTAACTGGTAGAAAACTTCGATTTAAACTTCTGGTGCACCTTTATAGTACTACTAATAAATCATACAATCAAATTTTCTTGTCATAAACATATAGACAAATTTTATCTTACATTTGGAGATTCATTTGACAGATAAAACAATAAATACAAAAATAGACATGCTTACATTGTTTTATGCCTCTAAAGGGATTTATGTAAGATTTATTAAGCTGTATAAATAATATATCTTAAAATGGACCTCTGGTGTAATGTACTACATGTTTGGCTGCTAACCAGGTTAACAGTTTGAACCAACAAACTGTCCCACATGAGAAAGGTAGGCAATCTCCTCCTGTTGAGGTATAATGCCTCAGAAACCTGATGAAAGGTCATGGTTGTGTCCCATAGAATTGAAACTGACCTATAACTGACTCTCTGGGGGCTGTAAATCACATGGGAGGAGATTGTCCATCTTTCTCCTGCAAAGCAGCTAGTGGATTTGAATTATGTGCCTTTGGCATTGTGGCTCATCTCCTTACCGCTAGGCTACCAGAGCTCTCTGATGGAGTAGGACGTGGAATTGACTTGATGAGTGTGGCCTAAATAAATATAACTTAGCAGGAATGAAAAAGAGTTGCTCTGCGTTAGCATGGACTCATTTGCACTGGGATATGTATTGTAGAACCATACCATGGTCTGTTTGGAAGATTTTCTTTAGTTATTCATATTTCTCTCTCATCTTATGAAACATTTGAAGTTTTTTGGAAGAAGGATTTTTTCCTTTTCTGAAAATGCTTTTTTTTAAAAAAAAATAATATGGAAACAAAATTCCTTTCTTAATCTGTTCAAAATGATTACTTACAGGAACACTCTGTGAAGAAAAAGAAGAAAAAAGACAAACATTCCAAAAAGGTAAAGAAAGAGAAGAAGAAAAAGAGCAAGAAGCAGAAATATGAAAAAGATGAGTCAGCTGATAGTTCATCAGTAAGTATGTAGTAAAACCATCCAAAGCAGGTGTTTAGAAAAATATTTACTTAATGAAATAATGTTTGAGAACTTAAAAAAAAGAATTAACTTTTGTCATATGAAAATACTTGGGACATTTGGAGGTGTCAGGAAATAATGGAAATTTAAATCTTGAGTTCTTTGGAAAGGTAAAGGTTTAAGATAGGGCTTGGAAATCATTGCTAGTAACAGACTGCATGAACTTTTTAGGAAACTGAAAAGAAAGAAGGGAACTGGCATTGAAGAACTCAACAAGAAGTTAAGGTCTCTAGTTACCAAATAGAAAATTGGAAGTAGAAGTAGGAAAGAGCAGCATTGTAAACATAAGGGAAAGAAAACATAAAATTCTGACATTACAGAGAGTTTGTTAACCTTGTTGTGTGCTTTTGCACTTTACTAACAAAAGGAAGAGAGTTTCCCATGTCTCTGGACAGTTCCCAGGATGAAAGAGCTTCCAAGGCAAGGAAAGCAGGTCAGACTTTTTATGTTCGTTTTCAGAAGGATAGGGATGTGTGTGTGTGTGTGTGTGTGTGTGTGTGTGTGTGGTGTAGAATGCCTTTGCGTAAACACTTTGATACTGTTTCTTGAGAGAAGAGCCACACTTGAGACAAAGAATGGAGGCCTATCAAATATGAGTGATCTCCTGGTGATCCTATGTTGACTAAGCCTCAAGAAGTTGCCTGGTGAGGCCAGTAAACAGCTTAGGAAGTGTGATTCTTAGTGGAGCTTCTGGATTGTAGACCATGCAAACATTCTGGTCTCAGAAGGATGGAGCTCCTGTCTCCTAAGGATATGGAAGTACTGAAGACCCCTCCTGGATCTTGTTCTTTGTTTCTTTTTCCTTCTATATTAAACGTAGACTTTTGCTTGTATTTTGTGAATTGTTCCATCAGATTAATAGTGAAACTAAGAAATAGAAGGGTATCCTGAATAGAGAAGAAGGATCTGATCCTGACTGACCCAGCCTTGATAGAGAATGGAGAGGAGAAAGAAAGGGTTGAGTAAATAAGCTGGGATCTGAACTGACCACAGGAGGGAAGTGGAGATTTTCCTGGACTGGTTTGATATTGCCAAGTGTTCTTGAGTTTTTTTAATTGTATTTGTGCTACATACAGAATTTTAAATTTACGGTTTTTTATCTTTCTGTATTTATGATGTTATTAATTTGTCTTCTGGAATGCATGTTTTTTCTGGGAATTCTATAGTCCTCTTTTATTTTCTAAATTTTATACTGATTTATTTACAAAGTTCAAATACATGGTTTTTCATACTACTCTCATTTTTTAAAAATATCTAATGCTTTTCTTTTTAATATATATATATTTTGCTCAATAATTTACATTCTTTCTTAAATTTTAATTTTATTGATTTTAATGAACATTTACAGAGACTTTGTATTTCCATTCATTCATTGTTACACTTTTCTCTCTGCCCACCCCTCCCCCTAGTTCACTCCTCTCTTTGAAAAGTAAATGAAAAATTTTTCCATTGTTCATTGCTATACAATCCCATCACAACCCCCTCCCTCCCTGCCCCGAGTACACTCCACTATGCAACCTTAATTCTGGACTCTTGTGATAACCATAATACCCTATCAT